ATGTGAGTTCTCTCTCTGACCCCAGTTGGGGTTTGTTTGTGAACAATGATTTAGAGAAGTAGTGAAAATGATCTCTTGTTTTTTAATCCAATCTCCAACACTGTTTATTATCAGACTTTAAATCATTTCCATTTCAAAGCTATTTACTGAACTATGGTTACTTCATGCAGCAACCAGTGTGTGTTTTTGTTTGTTCTATGATTCTGTTCACTCTTTTATTTCCTCACACAAAGCACCACCCTTAAGAAAGGCTTCTCTACTGATCACTATGATTAATGCAAGAAATGGTATACGAACTCCCTAATTCCCCAGGGTGAAACGGAAACACTCCTGCAATGTGCAAAGGTTACTCACATTTCCTAGTAATAATCATCAGATAAGACCCTCCTAAGTGATCAACCAAAAGACCACAAACTTCAATCAAAATACGTGTGTATGTGAGGGCTTCAAAGAGCTCTTGGAGAAATGGAATTTTTGAAACCCCTTCATATACCTTACATCTGTGTAAAACTTGTACCCAGCCACTGGACGAGAGATGTATGCAATGGAGCGTTATGCTTAGATAGAGAAAAACCCACAGACAAACAAACACAAAGATAAATAAATAAAAATTACTTGTGAAAATTATGGTTAGTATGTAGGTATCACTGGATATTTTGAAGTCAAATTCCTTTTCATTACATACAACAGTCATCTCAGGCCAAAGTAAATTGACAATGTTGCGCATATTTAGCCACCTGGCACAGCCTTATCATCTGTCAAAATACATATCAAAGAGCCCCTATGAACCCTTTCAACAAAACCTTCTCTCTTCTCTGTGGGCTCCCTCTGAGGACCTCAATCTCTGGCTGTTGTATTTATTTCATCAAATTATGATTGTAGCTTAAATACCAGTCTTTCTGTTAAGATGATAAAAACTATTTGATAAAAAAGAGAGCCAGCCATGTTTTATTTTTGTCTTACACATCTGGCATATAATGACTAAATGATGAAAAGAAACGCCCCAAAATAATATTGTCAAGAGAATATGTGGAAGAATACACAAATGAATGTGCGTTAAATTACTAAGTTCTAGACAAGCTTTGGGAGGCAACTGTGCAGCTACGGGAACAGCATTGGGTGTAGCTAGGACACTTGGAATGGACATCTGCATGAGCTACCTGTGGCTTTGAGACCCTGAGCACGGACATGTTTGAACACCTAGATTTCCTAATGTACTTGGCAAATGGAGCTTTCGTGGGCCCCTGAGACATTGCTTGCAAAAGCACCCTAGGGAGTAATCCAGTGCAAGGCTTCAAGGGAATGAAGAATCCTACCATTTTCTGAAACTGGTAACAAACACTTGCATTTCCTTCAAGATCTTTTGGCTACAGGTTGCAAGAACACAACAACAAAAAAGAAGAACAAAATGGCTGTGTTGTTTTGATCTTTGTCAGGATCTTCTCAGAGGAGAAAATCCTTCATGCCAATCTTGTGTCCATAGGTGGTGGTGATGGTCTACCCTTGTTGCTAAGCAGCTCCCTGGACTCATGGCAACCTCATGTGCCACAGAGAAAAACTACTCCCTTCGGAGTGTCTCGGCCGTGATCTTCATGGAAGCAGTTTGCCGGACTCTGGGGTGGGTCCAAACCAACAACCTTTGGGTAACTCAAAGCACAGGCAGGAAAACCAAGATGGCCACGGTACATCTTCTATATCAGGGAACTTGACAGGAATGTTTGTCAAGGTGGGATGGATATTAGTTAGGTCAAGGAAAGACAGTTATTGAGGTCATCCAATTAAAGAATGCAAAAGAAACCTAAGCAAGTTTTTACCGTGTGTAATGGGAAAGGTGTAGGACAGGTTTGGAGTGAGAATGATGGAGGTAAAATGCTTGTCTAGCCACATAAAACAAGTAAACTAGGCAAGAGAACATGGCTTCTAGGAGCCTCCATTGACTCGTGTGCAAATTGGGAATGATGATGAGTAGACGTTCAGGTGTCAGTGATTAAATAAAATAACCTGTGTAGTGCATCCGGTACAGCATCTGGCGCATTCCTGTTGTAGGGAAATGTCCTCTCTGCCTGTGTAGCTAGAAGCGGCGTGCTGGCGTGGCAGTCCCTGCCCAGCCCAAGGGAAGATTTAATGCTGTTTTTCACATGGGACCCAGCCCCGCCGTCTTCAAGGGAAGTTATTGCATCTGGCCCCAGAAGCAGAGCTGACATTTTTGACAGGGCCTTAAGTGCAGCTCTCCCTGGGGTGTTGTAACTGAGACAAGATGGGGCAGGTGGCAATAATGGGCATCGCATCCACTCAGGGACTCAGTATAACATGGATTACCATGGAATGCCTTTATTTGCTTTCTTCCTTTTTTTTTTAAAGAAACTTTTATGAATTTCACTTGGCTCAAAACCCTTTGATAATTATTCCTATCATCAATCACACAGATGAAGGTTAAAGAAACAGGCTGTTTTCTTAAGAGTATGCAGACTGAAACTCATTGTTCACAACAAGTAGTGCCATAAGTAAGTACAGTGTTAATTATCAGTCTGTCGCTGCTGGTTTGTTGTTCACATGGAAAACCTGGTGCTCGGACACCCAAGGTAGTACTTGACTTCCTTTCCTGCAGGGAACCTCTACAAGTCCAACTCCATTGAACCCAGTCTCTGTGACTTGTTTCTCATAGTTTCTCCAACTGATAAAGAATTTGAGACGAGGACGAAGAATTCCTTGCCCCCTTTTCACCTCTATAGTGTGGCATAGCTCTAGGAAGCAATCCAGCATAGAGGAATGACTGTGGACTTTTCACATGAGCTAGACTGTAAATGAGGAGCCCTGTTGGTACAATGGTTAAGTGTTCAGATATTAACCAAAAGTTAAATAGTGCAAACCCACTCTCCTCTCCAGAGGAGAAAGATGTGGCAAATTACGTCTGTGAAGGTGAACCTATAGCCACAAGTTGATTTCAACTCATAGTGATTTTATAGGGTAGCATAAAAATGCCTTATAGTGTTTCCAAGGTTGAAATCCTTATAGGACCAAACGGTCACATCTTTCTATTGAGGAGCAACTGGTGGGTTTGAACTGCTTATCTTTCTGTTAGCAGCAGAATGTCTTAACCACTGTGCTATCAGTTCCTTTGCCTTTACTTTTAGGTAACAATGACAGCTTTGGAAACCAAATAGGACAGGTCTCTCCTAGTTCATAGGGTCACTATGGGTCCACATCGGTGTTGTGGTAATGGATTTAATCCACAAGTAAAAGGCAAGGCCCACCACGGACTATGCCTAGAACCTTAATATGGTGTCTGTCCTTCCTTCCCCTCAGTTTTGTGGTGTGTTAAATGGGACTATTGCTCTCTTATGGGTTTAAAATCACCCGATGATCACATCTCTGTAGACCAACCCTAATCTCCACCTTGAGACCTGTGTGCCATCCAATTGATGCTGACTCATGAAAACCTTCTAGAACAGAGTAGGACTCATCCAGAAAGCTCAGTAGATGCTGACTCATGAAAACCTTCTAGAACAGAGTAGAACTCATCCAGGAAGCTCAGTAGATACTGACTTATGAAAACCTTCTAGA